CAGAATGCGCTGTAAATACATGCTGCTGGAAACGCTAAAGAACCAACAGGCTAATGTACAAAAAAAGACGCCTTACCTGATGCCTGTTTGAACAATACCAAACTAATTTAAACAGATAATGCAGGGCAACACACTTATTCATGCTATAGGCCCTATAAGATAAAGATAAAGACAGACGGTTATTAATACTAAAGATCAAATGATAATCGGCTTTACTTATATTTTTTGACTAACATTCACATTTTTCTACTTTGGTCAAAACTTTTTAAGATATAGATTTAACTGATAAATGGCGCCATCTGGTGGAGTTTAAACAGCAGGTAATAGCCTCAGTACTATGAGCAAGACAGAAAACACCGGAGAACTATTTTATGCAGTTTTTTTTCCCTTTTCTGTTACTAACATTAGACTTGAAAGTCATAAAATTCATAAAGTGAAATAAAACTCAACGTGAAACTTGTGTGACTGCATGTGAAGGTGATTGTGATGATCTCAGTTATATGTAAGATGACTGCATTTCTCATGGATAATCTTGAACAGCCTAATGAACATCATACAGCCCACTTCCTGATACTGTACACGTACATTCACACAATTACGGCATACAATACTTTCAGACCTTTACTTAGACCCTTCTCATGAATAATAGCCATTTTAAAAGCTGGAAGATTAATTTCTTTTTTCACTATATGACTCTAATGTTACTAATTCTATAACATAATCTATGTTATATAGCTATAACATAAAAACAGTAAACAGTAATGAAAGGGTTGAAGGCCACTGAGGTTTTTTTTTTTTTTTTTTTGCAGTTGCTTAGTGGGTGGAAATTTCACACCTTCCTTTACTTACAACAGATGATAGTTACCCAACAACACCTCTCATTATACAGCTAGTATTCAATTATTTTACAATAAAATTTGGGTGGGGACAAATATTTTGGGGAAATATCATTGAATACTGTGTGCACAAAGGGAACCGTTTTACCTTTATTAAGCCAACCAAATACAACCTTTGAAATCAAAAACAACTTCTAAATCAATTAAACAAATTCTAAATCCTAAGTCATTCTTATGATAATTTTGTTGCTATTATTTCTCTGCCTCTTTGTCAGAAAAAGTTTCTCATCATGTAATTTTCAGATTATAGGGTCTTAAAAAGCTCATAACAGCAGGAGAGGAAGAAACTCTTCACCTACAAACTAAACACACACGCAGTGAACAAACACTCTCGTCTACAAGATGTTTGTCCACCAACAGATCAAACCACATTTCTGAAAGCCAACCGCAGCAGTTTCCAGTTTGACTCAGAAGCTGAACCTCAGTAAAACTGGTACTGTTTTAACATTGGTTCCACACACAGCAATTGAAAATATAATAAATATATACAACCATTTTAAAATCACAAGGGTTAGGCTCAATTTTTCTATGAAATGTAGTTCTTTTAATACTCAGCATTATTCTTCTACTTTTAGCCATTTAACAGTCTGAGAAGAACTATCTTTCAAAAAGTATGTGTATGTGTAATTGATAAAAATACAACAAATTTCATCCATTAAAAACAGTTAAAATGAAATTAAAAACAGTCTTAATAAGGGCCAGAAGAACTATAACATTATCATATGCAAAAACAGCATAAGAACTAGGAGGGTCAAACTCAGTCGTGGGTGGATTCACTTATAGGTTGAGGGTTTTTAGTGAATAGTTTGATTTGATCAGACACTGAACAACTGAAATGTCTCACTTGTTTGTTTTGTTCTGTTTTTGCTGGTGGAGTCCGACTGGTAAGTTATAAAATCATATCCATTGCTTAATTGCTTTCCATTTCAGAATAATAAAGCTGCTGCTACTGTTCAAAATAGGTCATTTTCTTTTGCTGCTATCTGCAGCGGATGAGTAATTATTGTGAGCTCTAACTTTGAATTTATAATTTTACATTAAAAATTTCAGCAGGTCATAAAAGTAATAGAAAAAAGTGGACATTTCTGCAGTGAATGTAAATGGGTGTGCTCTGCATGGAGGCTCAGAAAACCAAAACCACTGAGCTGCTTTTAAATATTAGGCTTTTTTATATTTAATCTTTGTCTCCTTTTCACCCTGAAGTTATCATGTATTTGTTTTCAGTAAATTATGCAATTTTACACACTGAGTCAGTGTCAGTGATGGAGGGAGATTCTGTCACTCTAAACACTGATCTTACCGAAATACATAAACATGAAGACATACTCTGGTGTTTTGGACCAAAAATGGATCTTGTAGCTAAAATCTTCTCCACATTTGATGTTCCTGATGGGAGATTCAGAGACAGACTGAAGCTGGACAAGAAAACTGGATCTCTGACCATCACAAACATCACAACTCAACACACTGGAGTTTATAAACTAGTGACAGATGGAGCGAAATATTCATCAAAAACTTTTAGTGTTTCTGTCTACGGTGAGTGGAAACGCTGTTTGTCCTGACCTTCTCATATTCTTATTTTAGATTTATATAATCAAATGATACACTAAACACTCACTCTGCACTCAGAAAAGAAAATAAGACTATTGCGTTGCTTTATTCAGATTTCTGTATATTCTCATGTTTTGCAGCTCGTCTGCCTGTTCCTAACATTACCAGAGACTGTACTTCATCATCATCATCATCTTCATGTTCACTGGTGTGTTCAGTGGTGAATGTGGGTCATGTGACTCTCTCCTGGTACAAAGGAAACAGTTTATTGTCCAGCATCAGTGTGTCTGATCTCAGCATCAGTCTCTCTCTACCTCTGGAGGTGGAATATCAGGAGAAAAACAGCTACAGCTGTGTGCTCAACAATTCATTCACTAACCAGACCACACATCTGGACATCAGTCAACTCTGTCACACATGTGCAGGTATGTCAGCAGTTTATTCCCTGAGTCAATCTCTGTCTTTTGTTGTAGATTATACTGACACATTGACTTACATTAATGATTATTGTTACAGACTCTGTGTCTCTGATAGTATTGGTCTCTGCTGCTGCTGCTGGATCTCTGTTGATTGTAGCTGCAGTCGGGATCTTCTGCATCTGCAGGAAACACAAAAAAACTGATCAAGAAGGCAAGTGTTACCTACTGCCTTTAAGAAGTATTCTAACAAATACTAATAAATATAATTTTTTTTGATAATTATCATAATCATAATTTAAATGACAATTATTCTCATACTCATATATAAACTAATGTGCTTTTTTTGCAATTTCTGTAGATTCAACTCATAAATGTCTATATCTATTTGACACAGAACACAGCACTTTACTCATCTCAGTCATGCAAAAAACCTGATTCTTCACTACTTAGACTGCATCAAAACACAATGAAAATACAAACAGTATTGCAAATCTACATTATCTCAACAATAAAACTACATTTTATGGTAATAATCATACATGTGTAAAGATGCAGCTCTGTTGGAGTACAAATGAATAGTTTTTATGACAATTGCAAAGAATGCAAATGCTTTAAACATCATGTCTGCATTTGATTTATTAATAATCTAAGGAATGTCTCTATAAGTTTAAAAATAAACACATACTGTCTTAGGGATTTTGTGTGTGGAACACACTTTTTTAAGAAGTTGCACTTTTAAATATTTCATTGCATACATTAATGATTTAATTTTGACAGCCCTAATATTAACACCACATACTGTACGTTATGAAGAAATGAATCCAGCTAAGATTGAGTTTTGTTGTTTTAATGCATCTATTGGTGTTGCTATTACTAAAACAGTTGAGACTTGTGATGAAGAGATCACTTATGCTGACCCCACATTCCACAAAAGAAAAGCACAGAAATCGGTAAGAGAATTTATGTTATGCGTCTCTGTATAAATTCAGCAGTGAGTCAGAATTAGATGTGTGTGACTGTTTTTTTTTTTTTTTTACACACAACACCATATCCAATTTTTATAAAAGTCATAAGATCATCATTCAATGCCAGAAACACTCTAAAAACAGTAACTCTGAAAGAGTGAAGGATTTCTAAACTTCATCAACACTACACTTCAACTTACATGTTACGAACTCTTCACTCAGTAGAAATATCACATATTAGTGTATGAAATATAATTTATTATTGGAATGAACAAGGAAGCATTATTATCATCTCTGGCTTTAGTGCAGTTATTTCTCAACGAGTGAAGCAACACGCACCAAAAGAACAAGTGCAACTCTTCAGCACAATGGTGACCACAAAAACTCAACAACGCAAAAGAAACTTAACTTAAATGATCATTTTTTACTGATGCACATGCTTCATGTAGTGCCAATACAAAAAGATTGTGTTGTATTTTACAAATTTAAGTGGACTGATCATGTTTGTTTTGAGCGGTGAACAGTGTTTGTTCATTTATGTTAAAATGTCTCACAGGAAACTGAAGCCTTCATGAAGTGAAAGTCACAATGATGCACGTTTCTTCTGGTTTGCACGGCAGTCCAAAAGCAAATGCATTTTTTAAAATCAGTCAAACCTGCTTTATAACAGCACAGCTTTTTTTGTATCTCTGTCTGCTCAAAGGGTTACACTTTTTTCAGTATTATATACTCTCATCTCTTATTGTGTGTGTTTGTGTGTTTTTCACAGAATGTTAAAAAGGAAGATCATGTTGAGTATGCACCTATTGCCATGAGAAGATGATCAAACTTAAATCCTTCTCTAAGTACAAGAACTCTGAAACCTCCTGCAACAACCTCAGTTCCAGTATGATATTGATTTATTTCATAAATCTGGTGGATTTTTGATGAACAGCAGGTAAAACCGCAACAAGAGACAGCAGTGTTTACAGGACAACTAACTAATATTATGCCTTTCTGTCACTACTAACAATAGACTTGAAAATGGTCAAATTCATAATGTAACAAAACTCAATGTGATAAGCATGTGAAGGTGACTGAGATGATCTCAGTTATATTTTAACACTGAACCAAAGCTCACTCTTTCTAACAGCCCACAATGAAATCATTCACTGGGTTGATTTACATATTTCAAACGGTTTTCTAAAACTGCAAAGTAAAGTGCATGGAATGACTAATGATACTCACCAGTGACAATAACGCTGAATATCTTGATGATACTGATTCTGTTGCTGCTGTTGATCTGTAGTTTATAAAGCCCAGAGTCTGTGATTGTGGTGTTTCTGACGGTCAGAGATCCAGTCTGATTAACATCCAGTCTGTCTCTGAATCTTCCATCAGGGTCTTCACACTGACCATCTGTACAGGTTTTATTGGGATCTCCTGTGATTTCAGCGATGAGAGTGTCATTAAAATACCATGTCATCAAATAATTCAGGTTAACTTCACCAGGATCTAAAGTAACAGATTCTCCCTCCTTCACTGACTTTCTCTTCATTTTATCTTGTTCAGGAGCATCTGAAACACAAACCAACAGCTGCTGGAGGATCTTTTTGAGGGGAACACACTACATGAGTGAACTGTGGAATCCTCTTTACTTTGTCTAAAAACCTAAATGTATCCTAAATTTAGCTAATAAGCATTTTTTTTATCAAATCCTCTGCACTTTGGATTTCTGATTAACTAAAAAAAATAAACTGAGTAACAGATGCATTTAAACAGACAATAATAGAACTTTCACCTTCATCAGAAGAAGACTAAATGATCAAATTAATAAATAATCAATGGAAAAGCAATGTTTTGAATCATACTGAAATAAAGATATATTTAAATATACAAATTCCACTTCAACAGTAAATGTGTTTTTGACAAAATTACCTGTATATGAACTAATATACAGATAAAGAGAAAACCACAATGTCACAGCAACATTTTAATGTACATGACTTGTTTTTACACATAATGACTTACCATATACAGCAAGAATGGAGATCTTTTCACTGATGCTGTTGCTGCTGATGATACGTAGACGATAAAGTCCAGAGTCTGTGGTTCTGATGTCTCTGATGGTCAGAACAACCTCAGTTTCAGAGTTTTGGGATTATGTGGATCACCACGTTGCAGCAGGATCACGCTGAAGCATGGTAATTAAAGATGGATACATGAAATGGTCTCCTCCAATGTATTTGTTTTGTAGTACAAAGACTTTTAACAGATCTAAATCATATGGCCCTTTGGAGAATTCTCATGTTAGTCTTAAAGACACCATGTGTGTAAATATCATTTAAAAAAACTGCAAAACGTAGATGCAAAATGCTCACCAAAAGCAGTGGTCTCATTGATTCACATCTGTACAGATATGTGGTTTTATCTGTTGGACAAACAGGTACTGCATGAGCTTGTATCTGCTAGATGTTTGTTTGTTTGAGAGTCAGTGTGAAAGTGTGTTTGAGGTGTCAATGGCGTGTGTGGTTGAAAGTTTTTTTTTTCCATTCCGGCTCATATGAAACCATTTGACTTCTGCTTTAGAAAAAGGAGCTTCCCTACAAAAAATACCAAATCCGACAGTTATATTTAGCTGCATTTTAAATTCCCATTTTTTCAGATTTTGCCATTGTTACTGCAATGTCTTTGTAGGCTTGTAGCATTACACCAAAGTCATAATGATCCCTTTATGATCTAAACTAAACTCCTTCCAGCAGATACTAAGACCCAATGATTAACACTATAATGACAAATTGATGACAGCAATGACATGGTTTCATATAAGAGATGCCGTATTGGACATCCCCTATAAAGCCATTCTTTTTTCTATTTATTAGAAATAAGGTCTGTAGAGGTGTAATGTCACACATATCTAAAACGCTGCAGTGGAATAGTTTCATACGAGGTGCACATATAGTATGGGATGTCCCCAATAAGTTTTGATCATTCGTTTTTTGGTCTTTGACATGATATAATGAACTTTTCTCCAACTCATTGTAAACCATTAACTTTCAGTGCAGATGTAATACCTCGTTATATAACATCTTATGCATTTAGTACAGTAAAACAAATGAACAATGCATTTAGAATGAATATATATATATATATATATATATATATATATATATATATTTCATTTTATGCCATAGAAGCACCTTTTTGTCTAAATGGTTCCATAAAGAACCTTTAACATCTGAAGAAACTTTCTGTTTGACAAAAGGTTCTTTGTGGCGAAAGAAGGTTCTTCAGATTACAAAAAAGTAAGAAAGAGATGGTTCTTTAAAGAACCTTTGACTGAATGGTTCTTTGTGGAACCAAAAATGGTTCTTCTATGGCATCGCTTAAGAGTGTATGAACTAATATACAGATAAAGAGAAAACCAAAATGTCACAGCAACATTTTAATGTACATGACTTGTTTTTACACATAATGACTTACCATATACAGCAAGAATGGAGATCTTTTCACTGATGCTGTTGCTGCTGATGATACGTAGACGTT